CGTGGCCCCGTCCCGCGTCAACGTTCCTTGCCATGCGGCGTGTCCTGGTTGGCCAGGACTGCTGACGTAGTTGCTGACGTGGTACAACTTTTTTAAATTACGTTTTGACCCCTGGTTTCTGATTTTTCTTTCAAAAACACCCCCGTAATCTAAATTTTCTCCCTTTTTTTTCCCAAAATCAATTTCAATTAAATCCCAAAAATAATTTTACCATATTTTATCATTATTATTAATTTTATTTCTATTAAATTAAATTAAATTAAGTTAAACACATCATTATTACAAAATAAATTAACAATTAAATAAAATAAAATCCAAAAAAAAAAGGTTCCAATATTCAAAAATAAAAAAATTTATTTTTGGGGTGTTACAGATCTACTTGTTGTTCATCCTCCCCAGCTTCCTTTAATCTCACTGTTCCATCCAGTAACTTTTTACTATTCTCTCTCACTCCTCTCTCTCTCCTTCTTTCTCTAAGCTGACACTCTCCCCTTTCACTCGAGCTCCCTCTCATCTCTTTGTTCTAAACTCCTCCCCTTTGTTGGGTTACAGGTGGCAAAAAGAAAAGGAGGTCATTCGTGCTAGGCTTAAGGCTAGATTTTATGGGTTTGGATCTTTTAGATTGGGGCCGAATGAAATATTGGGCTAGCAGGGTGTTACAAATCTCCCTTCTTAAAAAAATTTGGTTTCCCAAATTTGCAGCGATTAGAGGTTCAAGACATACTTACCCGTTTTCAAGAGCCTCCTCAGCCTGATGATGTCCTTATAATGTTATTACTAAAAAGATTGGTTTAGTTGGTAATCACTTCTTTCCTAACTCTCATGAGTAAGGTATAATTGCAAGGCTTTTGTCTCTCAATTTCAAATATCTTAACCCTTATAGTTTGTTGGTGTCTCACTGTAGTTTCTTTAAGAATATTTGATCAATCAAAAGAAATATTGTCTTGGATTATAGTGGTTTTCAAAATTCATTAAAGTCTAACATCTTCTAATTAAATTGTATGCCATTGTTATTATTAACCCACATATTCTGAAAATATCATTTTTAGTTTATCCTCTTAACAATATATACCATATCCAAATTTCACTACAAAAATCAATTTTTTTGATTACCTAAGCAACCTCATCACTATGGTATATTTCCAGTCTCCCAAATTTTACATGACTACTTTAAGCTATTATTTCTTAATTTCTGAAATTCAATATTTGATTATTTGGAGTATATTATCTTAAAGCTTTAATAAAGCCTCTAATTATCGCCAACATACATGTCATTCATAAGGGCTTGGGACTTTAAATCTACTTTGACTATTCGTGTAATGGCATCAGAATGTCTAAAAGAAATAAATTATAAATTAAGCATATAAGCAAAATGAATAGTTAAGGTTTACATTCCTTACACAATAATTTAAAGTACTGAATAGTGTTACGGGAATTACCCTTTTGAAAAAAATACAAAAAAAAAAGAAAATAAGGGGAAAATAAATAAAACTAGCGTCCTACTTGCAACCCTTTTGTGGATAGGGCTCTGGATCTTGGTCCTCTTAATCTGAAATGGTTAAATAAGAGATGAACTACATTATCCCAGTAAGAATATCACGCTACTCACCGACACAGAAATGAATGTTGGTAGAAAATCAAAACAACTAATGGAGCACTTAATTAAACAAATGTATTTATTAATAATAAAACCATTTACCGTCCACTTATCGCAACAAAATTTATAAAAACAACCTAGAGAGATAATAACATAGCCCTTATCATGATTTCATATGCAATCAGTAACATGCACACATTATAAAATTCATATTCAATAAATCAAACAATAACTATCCTTTTCTATCAGTCTGCTGGTATCCATAGGGGTTCATAGGGATGTCTCTGCTACGCGTGAACCTTTTTCTTTAACATTCTCAATTAACGGGTCGTCTCCATATCTCGTCTGGTATGAGCGCTAAATTAGTAAACCTTAATACCCCGTCCAGTATGAGGGTGAAACGGGTCGTCCTCATACCTTGTCCGGTATGAATGCCAAATTATCAAGTCTCGATACCCCGTCCGATATAAGACAACATTCACGATAGGATTCCCTATTATACCCAGTCTGTCCACTATCTCCCAGGATATCCAATAAGGCTGTCGTTTCATCCATTCACTTAATCACATAATTTTTCGTTTTTCTTCAGTCTTCATTTTTCAATTCAATGGTATTCATATAAATCAAACAATACATGCATTCAAAATTATAAAATCGATCAATGAAATACTATCATGCAATTAACTAAAAAATAATTCAACAGAATCAACAATAGATAATTTTCGGTTCTGCCTCCATTAGTAACCCGTAATTAATTATGAATATTTTCTAAATTATACCAAATATCGTATTATTATTTATTTAGACTTCAATTCCATAATAGAGAATAGGTTGAGGGATTGTTACACAATTTGATGCTCGAAAAGCTAAGTTGTTGACTGCGTCTATTGGCGGTCCTCAGGTTCTCTAAATTTTTCTTTAGAGATTAAAATGTGCTATAAGTATCTACAAATATCCCAAAAACTCAAAATCAGTCTCATGACCCATTTTTGGCTAATTCTGAAATTCCGACATGGCGGCCTTGCCGTGCTCCGACGATGGCGTCACTGCCCATGTTGGCGGTCTGCCTCAAGTCAGTTGTTTTCGGTCGTTTTTGGTCGAATTCAATCGATTTTGCATCAATTCCTACGAAAAAACACGTTAAGGGGCCTCAATTGGCCCAAAAAACACAAAAAAAAACTGAAACTCACCAGCGGAGGGACTCTTCAATGCGGCGACTCCTCTGGCTCACATTGCGATTGAATGTTTTGCTCCAGTCAACCTGTAGAGAATGAAACGTTGATCACAATGGTGGAAAAATTATGCAGAACGGGAATTGGAAATGGCCTCATTGGAGGCGTTTTGTGAAATTCTCTGCGGCGGTGCCGTCAGGCTTTGCCCACGGTTTCTGGCTAACTCGCTGGTCTTTTTGCTCTGATTTGGCTATGGGGGTGCTTAAAATTGAATTTCAAGCAAAAGAGAAATTTTTTTACCTCTTTTGGTGGTCAGAAGTGGCTCTAGTGCTGCGGCAGGTGGCAGCGACTCTCCTTCCCGGCGGCTAGGTCTTCTTCTCCGACAAGGGTGTCTGGCAGCTAGAATTAGGGTTTGGTATGAAAAATGTTATTTATATCTATTCCCATTTAATTTGGACTGTCCATCGCGTTTGATCTGGACCGTCTGATCCCGATTAAATAGGTAGTGAATCTGGACTATCCATCGCGATCTAATCTGGGTTACCCGATCTTGTTTAAATAGAAAGTAGATCTGAACTGTTGATCGCGTTTAAATCTGGCTATCCGATCGCGTTTGGGAGGGAACGCATCCAAGCTGTCCGTGCACGCAAGAATGGATCTGGGTCGTTCGATCGCGGACACGCAGATTGCCCGTGTGGCCTCTCGTGTGGCACCGCATCAGCGTCCGTTGCCATGCGACGCGTTCTGGTTCATCAGGGCTGTTAACCGGGTATCCTACATGGCACAAGTTTTCTAAATTATATTTTGACTCCCATTTTCTGATTTTAAAAAAAATACCTTCAAAACTCAAATTTTCACCCATTTTTTCCAAAATCGTTTTCAATTTTATAATCCATCAAATTTCTTTCATTTTCACACTAAATTAAAATTAAAAAATTAAAAAATTATAATTATAATTTAATTTACATTAAATTAAATTTGGGCATTATAGTTCGTATTTGTATAAGACAGTTCATAAACACACCGATTTAGCCTTATTACTTTGTGTCATATTCACCTCCTTCAGGATAGGTGAGTACAAAAATTGAGTGGGTATGATGGTTTTAGAATTCTTAGATGTTACTCGTGGGTTCATAAACATACTAGAGTTCTCAAGATCTTTTTCCCCCCTCTTTTTATTTTTTTTCTCCCCCAAATGTTGGCATCATCATGAATTTCCTTTAATTGAATCATATTATTCTTTTAAATCCATCAAGGCTGAATGATTTCTAATATTACCATAATAGACATTCAAAATCAGAAAAGTAGGGATTCGAGCAAATATTACCATAATAGAATCTGAAATTCTACATTACTTACCTCTTTCCTCCATTTTCTAACCCTTAGCAATAGTTCACTAAAATCTTTCTCTTCCTTAAACTCTCACAACAATTTCACAACAGTTCGTCTCCTTCCCCTCCCTCTGTCTTCTCGGTCTTTCTCCTTTCTCTCCCCA